AGAAAAAAAAAAAAAAAAAAAAAAAAAAAAAAAAAAAAAAAAAAAAAAACACATTTAACTTGAAGGTTAAAACACATTTAAAATGTGTATAAAAAGATGTGTGGAAGGTTTGTGCTAACTGATGGTATTTCTTAGGTCAGTGTGACAATGATAGTTTCCCACCATTCTAAATCCAGCTTCAGAATGTCTGAAATGTTGATGTTCCTTGCATTTTATTTATTTATTTATTTATAGATAGATATATATATATTTTTTTTTTGGTGTGTGAACTAGCCTATAAAAGGATAAAGGGAACTGAAGGCAAACCTTGTAACTTCGTTATACTCGTATATCTGAACTTTGCCGCCATACGTCACATTGCTGTCATCACTACCCACTGCAATCATAGGTGCATGAGCTCAAGAACGGTGAAGACAAAAAATATATTTTATTAATCAATCAGGTGCATCCATTGATTCAGTTTACCAAGACAATAAAGTCTCAAAAATGGTCTGAGATGTCTTGAAAGACAAAAGAAACTTGGAAATGTTTTCTAACGGCTATCAAGTTTGACCTCACTGTTCAGTGGTGACAAGCATGTAAAATATCTGTGCTATTTGCAGTCACAGGTCTAATGCCGAGTTCACACTGAATGATTTTGAAACTAGTCGGATCGCCATTGTTTTCACACAGCGTGACTATCTGGGGTAGCATTCAGTTGCTGCGGTGCTCACATTGCACGATGGATCGGCGACAGGTTACATATTGCATGATTTCACAATAGGAAGAATCGCCGACAGCTCTGTCTGGTCCACAAACTACGTTTCACAACAAAACACACGCGAGAAGTGATAAGGAAATAACGCGAGAACCCACATGCGTCAGACCGGAGTTCGAGCGAGACTGGAATTATAAAAAAAAAATATATATATATATATATAGCCCGCAAATTGTCTGTGAGCTGATTTCCAGCTACAAGGAGAAAAAAAAAACAGATTATGCAGGAAGGAGATGCAGGGAACAGGGATTGGGTGTTCTGCAAAGAGAGTTGGAGGTAAATAAGGAGGGAGATGCAGGGAACAGGGATTGGGTGTTCTGCAAAGAGAGTTGGAGGTAAATAATTTTGCAGTAACTGTTATGCTGATGTTCTGGCTGGTCAAGCAAATGTTTGTGCTCGTTTCTGTATGATATAATTGTTCATATATCTATTAAAATACTGATATTCTGGTCTATAACTCCTCCCTGAACTTCCCTCTGCCCTGTATCTTGGTCTCTCATTGGCTGTAGGTCATCGCCGATGTAGTTTTCAGTCAGAAATCATTGCACGCAGCGTGATTGTGAATCGCCGACAGCTCCAGATATTTAGCATGCCAAATATTTCACGGGCGTCTGCGATGTGTCGGCGATTCCCTCAGATCACGTCTTTGATAATTCACACTGCGTGATTGTCACGAGCACCAATTTGCCTCCGATTTCGGGCATTTGTCGGCGATTTCACAAAACCTGTCGGCGAGTGAAAAATCGGGCTAAAATCGTGCAGTGTGAACTCAGCATAATGAGAACAGAGGTTTCACCCTTCTGTGAAAAGTCTATTTCAAACTTTCTCTAAATTATCTGAGAGTTTCAGATACAGGATATATAAAGTTACAAATTGTACACATCTGCAAAGTAAATTCTGCAACAGTATAGGTGTACATGCTTACATCTACTCGCATATAGATGCGTTCAACTATCATTTGTGAATTGTCACCTGGAAGGGTTCCAGGAGATGCAGGAGCAGGAGAGTTTGGACGAGATCTCGTGCTGCAGGGACCACTGGCTCAGGTTCATCACGTCAGGGGCCTCGTAGATTCGCACCACACCGTCTGCAGAGCATGTGGTCAGCATCAAGCCCATGTGCTTTGGGGCAAACTTCACATCAGTCACAGATGTCCGACTGTCCACAAGTGTGGTTCTCTTTATCTGATGTGAGAACAGAGATGCATCAAAGTTATACACAGGCTATGTTCGGCATAGAATAACTTCTCTGTGCAATATATACAGTATACTGCCAAATATATGCATTACAACATAAGCATGTCTTAACTCCTGGCAGTACAAGCAAATGGAGTCAAAGATTAGACAAAACAAAAAAAAAACAAAATCATGGCAGATATTACTTCCAATTCATATATTGCACTAGACACAGAAGCGTACACTTAGTAGGGTAGCATGCTATTTAGCAACTCTTATTTAGGAAGCCTCACCATGTATGAACCATAATCAAATCCAACTTATTCTAGGAGACAACTTGGGAGAAGTGATTTAAGGCAAATGCCCAGACTAGAAAGTATCTCTCACCCAGTGGCTTTGTCCTCGTTGTTTGTCATTGGACTCTCCAACAATCTCCTCCCATACTAATCGCAGTACGATCAAAGGAGCAGGATGCCAACACCTGTCCAAACTCTGGATGGGCCCAGGTCACTCTCCAAACTGAGCCACTGTGAGTCTACAAAACACAAGTTTGTCAAATTACAGCCCAAAACACTTCATAATGATGACCAATACGGTGAGTCTACACCAACTTATGATAGTCCAAATCAAACTAGAAAACTGTCGAAATGAGAACTACAAGTTGGTATGGTAGGAAAAATGTATCTAGCAAAACGTATGCATTGATTTTTACACCCATCTCATTTTTTTCCCCTCTTAAGGGCTCCTTCTAGAACATGTCTGTTTAACGAGGATTTGGGATTATTTTACTGCAGTGGTTCTCAACATTTTTGACCCAAAAGCCCCCGATTGCCCTCCAACTAGGCATGTCATGATAACTTTTTGTTGTGCGATATATTGCCCCAGAAATAATTGCGATAAGTGATATTATTGTCATTTTAAAGACCATTTTATGCCACCGAATGATTCCAATCTTGATTGTGATTAGTATTTTCATTAAAATTACATTTGTCAATAAATTAACAATTGACTTAAATACTTAATCCTCTGGACCCCTTGGATGTTTGCTGATGCCCCCTAGTGAGCCCAGGACTTCTGGTTGAGAACCAGTTTTATGGCAAGACCTACTTTCCAGCTGGCTGTGCAGTTCCATTCTCCCCCTTATCCCACACCTAAGGGGGGAAAGATACAAAACCCAAATATTTGCACAATTAAATCATATTAATGTCCTTTTAAAATGTACACTGCATGCTCGTTAACCACATCTGTTGCATTGCAAACAAACTCTAGCAGGCCATGGGTTAAGAAACCACTTACCTTAATGCTTTGGTCGCTGGAGCACGTCGCCATTCTCCGCCCGTGAAAGTCATAAGAAACATCGTGGATCAGATCTTTATGATCGGCTGCGATGCTGCGCGCGACAAACATCTTTTTCTTATCTACTCTTCTTGGTAATGGCACGCGGGAAGTAAACACGAATAAACGCGAGGTTGAAAGCGGTCCAATCACGTTGGACTTGGAAAGCATGTGGACCAGATCTTTATAATAAACGATCGGGTGAAATATTCTAGAGGTGACGTGAAGATCCGCGGAACTCTGAGCATGCGCAGTAATGCCGCCTCACATTTTAGTCAAACAGCGCCCTCTACTGCATGCAATTATAACCGTATACTAAAAACAGGAAAACACGAATGTTTAACATTTGCATTTATTTAACAAAACTAGCGTATTTCACATTGTATTTATAATCTTTACTCGCTTGGATTAACAACTCAACAAAAGCATCAAAGCAGCTCTTTTTTTGATCAAAACAGCAGTAAAACAGTTACAGTACGTGAACAATGTAAACATGAAACAAGCCTTCAATCCCATATATGACCATTAGAATTTGGAAATCTTCAAAACACACCCATCTCAGCAATAAGTAGTATGGCAAGCAAAAGAGGAGCAAGGGACAACTGAATTGAAGGGCCAGCGTTGCAGAAGTCTTCCTCACAGCAGGTGGTCTTCAAGGTGTATAAGGTCTTTTTGGCAAGGAACTCTACAACTGTTGTCTTGTTGCATGCCTCCATGGGAAGACAACCCATCACCTTTATATCCAGGACAGAAGCTGAAAAATCAAACGGAAAGCATTCCAAAGTAAACAGACATGGGTTTGTAAAAGATCCCGAAAACTGAACTTTAACGTCACATTTACCTGCTTTACCAATTCCCACATAACACAATTCATCATCACTGCAGTTTGTCTTGGTAGTGTAACACACATCCCAGAATCCAAGTTCACACCGAAAACACTCAAGTGTTTGTCCTGTAAGCAAAGGGAAATTAAAGTGAATTATGTTCTAATTAATTACAATGGGACAAACAGATTTGCACTTGTGGTCGCAATTTATGTTGTTAAAGGTACAAATGCCATTAAAGCTATTAAACACTCATACTGCAGATACACGGGTCTTGATCACATTGGTATGATCCCATTTAAAATGTAGTATGGAAATAAGTGGTTTACAAAATCCCTTCATCATTGGTTTGAAACAAAAGCATTTGTTACAATAGGCTACCATTCATTCAAACTAGACTTCTCAAATTCCAGGGAAATTATTAACTTACCCAAACAAAACAAAGACATCATCACAAACGCGGTAAAAATGGCTCCTCTCATGTTTAAGTGAGTTTTAGAAGTAGATAAGCTCACAAATATGAAAGCAACACCTTGAGCTGGATATGGTCTTTACAAATGAATACCACCGAACAGACAGCTAGTCTACACAATCCTGCGTGACAATAGGGATTGTGTTGCATAACGCATGGTAAAGTGTGAGGAAGATAAAGGCATTATCTTATTAGCCATTTATAAGAAGCAGCTGTTTAGCACGTGTAGCGCAAGAAAAAACCTAAATGTATCACGTGCACGTTCAAACATATCCTTCTATCGTAATTCAAGGCAAAAATTTTTATCAAACTACTTAAGTTGTCAATATAATATAATCTACGTTACATTTACTTCATGACACCAAAAGACAACAAGCTAAAAGAGAGAATGATCAACAAATCAATCATTTTCCTGGAAGTAGCGTTTCATTTGTGAACGAATCGGTGTAATTACATTAAAACGAATCTTTAAATCGAACAAATGATTCACGTTCACTTCCACGCTCTGGTCTCGATTGTTCAGAGCATACTGCTCTTAATAGTTCTGCCTTATAAAGTTTTTAGTATGCTTTATTTCTTTCTTTCTGAATCCAGTCGTAGGTCTTTCGGAGTTTTCAGAATGAGCTTTATCAGAATTAACTTTATTCGCCAAGTGTATGGAATTT